TCAGTTTCCTCCTGCCAATATCCACCAGGCTCATCCCAGTGGGGGAAATGTAGAATCACACCCTCACTGGACAGCTTAGGCCCTCTCCCACAACTTCCTCCGGGCTCTCTCCCATGAGCTTCTCCTGACACAACTGATTCCTTGGACTAGAACTTGCAATTAGGCCCCCAGCTAAGCCTAGCTGGGACCTTGGTGTCTTCAGGCTGGCTTCCTCCCAGTCCTCTGCCCCAGGAGCAGAAACCCTCAACAAGCTGGACCCAGGAACACTGCCCCTTGCTGCTTAGGCCTCAGACTACTTATGGGCTCTCTCACCACCATCTGGGCACATCTCCCCAGGGATTGGCTAAAGTTCTGTAAATATTCAGATTGCCCACTCTGTCCACCCTCCCATTATGTTTCTTGATTCCTCTAGAACAGGGGTCTCCAAATTTTCTAAACATAGGGCCAGTCTACTGTCCATCAGAAATTCGGGAAGGGAGGGGGGGGGGGGGCAGACTGTGGTCTCCCACAGTACACAGAACATGGAAGTGCAATTATTTTAGTAAATATAAACTGCTAAATACCTTTTCTCATCAGCAGTTAGAGCAGTCTTGTGACTTATATCAGTGTGTAGCCGAGCACTGGTTAAAGCTTGTAGGGGGAGTTTTCTTTCTGCTCTAGGAGGATGCAGAACCCCTTACCTCTGTCTGGACAGTGCTGATTGGCCCTGTGCTGATCACATGCACTCTCCCCAAGGAAAAAAAAGCCTCTCTAGCAATATACACCAAATTGAGCATATGCAGAGTGACTCCACAATCTATGTCTTATCAGGAGATAAGAGGGGGACACTGGAAGTAGGGGAGGATGAGAGAAGTCAGGATCAATTAGCATTTTTATGCAATGCAGAGGATTAACCCCTTAGGTTCCACAGTGAGTATAACAAGCATGCTTTACTGCATATAGACTGATTTTACTGTTGTGGGTTTAGTAACATTGTAAGTCCTATTGTGGACCAAGTGGTGTCAGCCGTGTCCACTGTCTTTTGCTGACCTACTTAACCACTCCCACTCTCAGATCGCTACAACATTTGTAATTTGAAATTTATTGTCAGGGTTTATACTTCAACACACTCTTATGATTAGATGAAGGAAAAAAAAAAACAGCCACAGGGATGAGTAGATAAATCATTTTATTATCTGACGTACATCCATTTGTCCCGTATACAGGGTTAGTAAGACCACAAGTTACAGGCAGATCACAAGATTTTACGCAGGGATACAGAAAGGGGCCCCAGAACACGTTCCAAGGTAAATATGTGGGGTCCGTTAAATGACATATTTAGTGACGTTCCCTCTCCCCCTGGGGGGGTCATATAATAAATCCCATCCTCATAAAAGTGTCATATACACCTCCACATGATATACTTGACTGCTTATCTGTATACAGGTAGTCACTGTATCAATATATATAGATATACAGATCATTGCTACTTTCTATATACTGTGTATTCCACGTCATTCCTTATATTCCATATGGGACTATGATGTGTGTCTATATAGATGCCGTGTAGACTCTTTAGACTGTGTATGGTCCTCCCTACATTCTGAATGAACCCCCCACATAGGGGTGTGCTAGCTAATACTTAGCACAATGTACAGACAGTCATTACTCACAGCACACAGAGTACCCCATGCTATGTACAGAGGAGGGGGCTGCATGCAGTGATCAGTTTATCCATGGTAGGATAGACAGGTTTTCTTTTAAGTGGCCACAGAGCAGTTTTGAGGATTCAGGATACAGGGGGTAGCAGGGTTATTGCTGCTGGACTGAAGACTGGAAGGATGATTATTTTAAAAATGTTAGGGAGACAGTGTATCAGGGGTATATGGGCCTTATGAATATAATGACTGAAGAAGTAACTGTTCTTGTAGCCCATAGCAGTCAAGACGTTTGTCCCTTTTCATGTTTCCAGTGCAGTGTTGTAGAATGAAGGGGAGGAATATAGCTGCTGTGAGCAACAATAAGAGTTCTAAAGCTAGACACGTTTATGTATGTGCCAACTAAGATATCACAAAATGCAGAGAGGATGATGGACATCATAGAGGGAGAATAATGGAGACCACAGATCAAAGACAAATTGACATAGAGGGCAAAAGTTGGCCATACACCAGTAGAATTTCATTCAAACTTCCATATGAAAATTCTGAAAAATCATCCCTCGGAGGACTTGCAACCGAGTCAACTAATTTCAAAACCTTAAAATCTCAGCCAGACCTGCTACTTGAATGGTTTTCCATATTTATTAAACAGGTTTCTTTTGCATCTAACATATGCGCTTTACAATACACACAAATTTTCCCATATGAAAACCATATTCACAATTTTTTGCCCATTTAAGAAAAATGTTTCACCCTGCTCCCCTGAATTTTCTGGTCACTACAACTGAAAATGATTGTCGATTTGACCCCATTTACCATAAGAAAATTGAACGAATGTTCTGAAAATGAAATTCTACTAGTGCATGGCCAGTTTAAGACCAGAGACAGGGTGGCAGATATTACAAACCAGGACCAACATGTCAGAGACATAGCGGACTAGATGGAGACAGTACATAAAAGAAGTAATATAGATTCATCAATGGACAAGATGATAGAGATAATGAAGAGAGAAACAGGATGATAGAGACAACAGACAAAGACAAGGTAAGAGTGACATCACAGACTATGGCCAAGGTGGTAGAGACAGCATACCAAAGACAGAGTGATGAAGATATTAATGGCCAAGGAAAGATGATGATGAAACATCATAGACCAGGCATAAGATAATGGAGATGTCATAGACCAAAGACAATGTTATAGAGATATCAGATGAAACCAAAATAATTGACACCGCAGATACAAGCGGTAAAGGAAAGGCACCACGGACTAGGGACAGAATTAAAAAGACAATGGACTAAGGACATGATGATGGATGCAACAGATCAAATGCACAATAATGAAGACAATAGACTTGAAGCAATGATAAAGACATCATAGACCAGAGACGAGATGTTAAAAACAACACAGAACAAGGATAGAATAATAGATGTAACAGATCAAAGGTAGTATTATAGAGAAATCGGAGACCTGAAAGAGAATGAAAGACACAACCAACCAAAGAAAAGGTGATAAAGACATCTGATACCAGGTCCAAGGTGACAGGAGGAAAGAGGAACCAGAAAAATGTTAGGATGACGGAGATAACAGACCAAGCAAAGGGAAGGTGATAAAGACATCTGATACAAGGGCTAAGGGTGAAAGATGACAGGAGAAGAAGGAACCAGACCAAAGTTAGGATGATGGAGATAGCAGACCAATCAAAGGGAAGGTGATAAAGACATCTGATACAGGTCTAAGGTGAAAGATGAGAGAAGAAAAGAGGAACCAGACCAAAGTTAGGATGATGGAGATAGCAGACCAACCAAAGGGAAGGTGATAAAGACATCTGATACCAGGATGACGGGAGGAAAGAGAAACCAGACCAAAGTTAGGATGATGGAGACAGCAGACCGACCAAAGAGAAGGTGATAAAGATCTGATACAGGTTTAAGGTGAAAGATGACAGAGAGAAAAGAGGAACCAGACCAACGTTAGGATGATGGAGATAGCAGACCAACCAAATTGAAGGTGATAAAGACATCTGATACCAGGTATAAGGTGAAAGATGACAGGAGAAAAGTGGAATCAGACCAAAGTTAGATGATGGAGATAGCAGACCAGTGAAAGAAATGTCAAAGACCAGAGACAGGATGCTAGAGACAAAACAGGCAAAGATGATATAAACAAGACCAGAGAAAGAATGATGGAGATCAAGAGAGGATAATATAGACAGTGCAAACTAAAGACAGGCTGATAGAGAAACCATAGGTCAAGGATAAGATGGTAGATGAAAAATACATCACAGACTGGGAATGGGATGAGAGAGACCCGACATAACAGAGACATGACCTGCCGGGATGATAGAGACAGTGGGCCACATACAGGTATTAGACACATCGCAGTTCAGGGATAGGCTGTGTTGCTTTCTACACAGGGATATACACAAATACAGGCAAGGTCAATAATTTCTAGCTTGTCCATACATAATAGTCCTACCAAGTGCACCATTCATGTGGTAGAGTATTTCCGTGACAGTAGTCAGATTTGCACAGCTGCATATGAAACTTCATAAAGGTGTACAGACATATCTACACTTTTTGGAACAAAAAAAGATGTAGAACTGTCTTTTGCCCAACATGTTCATAATTTAACCAGGGACATTTTTATCTTTTACTTCTTATTTGCCATCTCTGTTGAAACCTAGGGCCATCAACCTATACTTTATGCAGCAGGCCATTTATATACATATTGTATATATAAAGCCATGTTGGTTTAGAATACGATGCACTTATGTTGTTGATTGGGCTATAGTCTAGTGATTGACCATAAGTTGGTAATACCAATTGGTGGCTGGTGAATGTGGTAATTGGGGACAGGGATGCATATGTGATTGTAAAGTGTTTTGGGTAATGCAGCACCCTGCAGCAACCAATCAAATTTTTGCATTCTGCAGTTTAGAGCACTCAGGACTTTGGTGATTGGTTGTTGTGGATTACTACACTTTTCTTTTTGCCTTGATAGCTAAAGGTCTTTAAGTCAGTAGTAACCCGGTATATGTCTGTTTTGTTATCCCTAGAAACAGAGAATAAAGGGCAACTGGGACAAGCTCAGGCAGTGCTGGAGGTTCCTGCCGGTTTGGCCTTCCGATAGAAGGTTCTGTAGAAGATGGAAGCAAGTAAACCTTCTGCAGAATGATGCTGGATTGTCCTGGCCCCCACTCCTCGATTTATTCTGCACTGAATGGGACAGTGACACACAGAGGGGCCCCTTAGTCAGAGGAACATTAGACAAGGCACTGGGGAGTCAGGGGATGCAGACACAGACAGAGGGAGGCGGCAGTCTGTGGCTCCAGGTGACAGGATTCTGGAATAGCAGGAAACAAGGTTAGGATTGCATCTCGGCACGTAGCAGCCAGGGAAACCAGCAGCAGAACAGCAACCTGAGAGAGAAAAGAAAAGACAGTTAACATAGGGCAGACGGAAAGAACTAACGGGAGAGGTCAACTCAGAGAAAAACAGGAGATAGGACCTAGTGGGCATTATTTATCTATCTTGGTATGGAGAGAATTGTCCTAGTATGTTAGCTAGATCAGCCAATCAAATTTGTCCTCTCTTTGTCCTCTCTTCTTCCCACTGCAGTTTAGGAAAGTGAAAGAATCTGATATGGCAGAGTTTCCCTTTAAACTCTTCTAGCAGCCTGTGTTTGTAAAAGCAAGGTTTTTGGATCATCTTCCCCCCTCCCTTATTTCCTGTGAGTATTATGTGTACCGGTTTGTAGCTGGTATTTTTTTATCTGCAGCTGCTGCCCAAGGTTATTCTGTAGAGTTTAGGAAGCCTTTTGAGTGTATAGAAGGTAAGAAAGGAATGTATGCCGTGTGACGTAATCGTTGGTATATACGCTTGTAAGAAGTTTTCTATAACTCACTTAGCAGATGAGAGCACGAGCCATCTGTTGAGTCAAAACAGCGCTGTTTTTAATAAATCATTTGTATTCCTCAAGTCCGTGTCCAGAGTTATGTGGTTTGCCAAAATTGCTACTACAATATATCTGTACATCTGCCAAACAATATACTTAATAATACAGGTGTACCTTGGTTTACAAATTTTATGCATTCTCCGGGACGTTTCGTATTGCGAAACATTCATAAACCAAAACGCGGTTTCCCATAGGAAAGCATTGAAAACCAATTAATCCGTTCCGGAGGTCAGAAAAAAGTAAAAAAAAAAGTCTATCTGTTTAAAACTCTTTATAAAGTACACTTTAAAGGCATAAATACTGTACAGGGACGTGATTAATCAAGCAATAACTCCATTCAAAACCGCTCCAACACCTCTGACACCTCCACACTCGACACCACATGCTACCACAGACTCCAGCATTCACGGGGGTGCAGCGCGATAAACCGCCCAGGCGCAGTGCATCCAAGGGAAACTTACTTTGTATTGGGAAAAAAAATTGTAAACCGAGGCATTATTTTCAATGGATCTTTATTAGTAAACCGAAAATTACATTAACTGAGGCGTTCGTAAACCGAGGTACACCTGTACTTAATATGCTCTCTACTCCTGCCTCTCTAAGCTCCCTGTTGTTCAGTGAGCCCACCCATTCTACTAAAGGACCAATAGGAAAACTTTGGAGGTAGAAGGGGGTGGAGCAAAAGTAGACTTTTCCAGCAGAGGTCAAGATTTAAATATTACTTAAGGTGGACTTACACATGAAAATGAAAGCCCCGCTTAATTTACTAAAACTGGAGAGTAAAAAATCTGGTGTAGCTCTGCATCAGCTTCCAGTTTTTTTTGTCAAAGCTTAACTGAACAAACTGAAGCTAGAAGCTGATTGGCTATTATGTACGGCCAGATTTTGCACTCTCCAGTTTTAGTAAGTCAACCCCATAATCTTCCTCCCCCCCCCAGGCTGTATAATAAATCACAGGGTTTTTTTATTCTGGGAGTGAGCACCTTTTTTTTTATGGTACCCATTCCTACTTCCTCAGTCTTCACATAGGGGAGACTGATATCACTTCAGACTAGACATGTGCATTTCATTTTGTAACTAATCCATTTTCTGGCGAAAATTTAATTTTCGGAGATTCGAATGTATACAAATGTCACCAAATCCGAAAAAAAAGTTATAACAAAATTAACAAATGCATTTGTTTAATTAGTTTCATTCGGATGATGTCACGTGATGTGATAATAGTTTGGGCCCATGGGGAAATGAATTACATTTTTTAATCCTACTCCTCGACCTCTCCGCGGCCTTTGACACAGTTGACCACCCCCTCCTCCTTATTAAACTACACTCCCTTGGAATCAGAGACTCTGTTCTCTCCTGGCTTTCCTCCTATCTATCCCAACGCTCCTTCAGCGTTACCTATAACACTACCACCTCCCGCTCTCTCCACCTCTCTGTTGGGGTCCCCCAAGGCTCTGTCCTCGGGCCCCTTCTTTTCTCCATCTAAACCTCCTCTCTCGGCAAATTGATACACTCCCATGGCATCAACTATCACCTCTACGCTGATGACACGCAAATTTACCTCTCCATCCCTCACCTCACCCCTTCAGTCTCTGCCCGTATCACCCACCTACTGAACGACATATCAGACTGGATGTCGCTCCATTTCCTCAAATTGAACCTTTCCAAAACCGAGCTCCTAGTTTTCCCCCCAGCCCGCGCCCCCCCCCCCCCTTCCTCTCCATCACGACCAACAATGCCACCATCAATCCCTCCACGCAAGCCAAAGTCCTAGGTGTCACCCTAGACTCAAACCTGTCCTTCCAACCCCATGTCCAATCGCTGGCAAATTCATGTAGGCTCCACCTCCGCAACATCTCCAAGATACGTACGTTCCTAACCCCAGACACTACTAAACAACTCGTTCACTCCCTTATTATCTCACGCCTGGACTACTGCAACTCCCTTCTCACTGGCTAACCCCAACACAGGCTATCCCCACTTCAGTCTGTCCTGAACTCAGCGGCCAGACTCATCCACCTTACCAAGCGCTCCACTTCTGCCACCCCCCTCTGTCATTCCCTCCACTGGCTCCCGATTGCCCAAAGCATTAGGTTCAAACTACTAACATTGACATACAAAGCCATTCATAACACTTCCCCAAACTACCTCACCGACCTGATACCCAAATACCACCCAACACGTACTCTTCGCTCCTCACAAGACCTGCTACTTTCTAGCTCCCTGGTCTCCTCCTCCCACGCCCGACTGCAGGACTTCTCCAGGACTTCCCTCATTCTCTGGAACTCTACTCCAATCCATCAGACTGTCACCTACCCTCCTCACCTTCAGGCGCACCCTGAAAACCCATCTCTTCAGGGAAGCCTTCCTCATCCTCACCTAACAGCGGATCTCCTCCACTCCTCCTACCACTCCATCCCCCACAGCCACTTCCTCCTGTACCACTATCCCCTCCCTCCTAGATTGTAAGCTCGAAAGAGCAGGGCCCTTGAACCCCTCGTGTATTGTTTTGTTACTGTTTTGTCTCATATACTGTCCCCCATTTTATTGTACAGCACTGAGCAAACCTTTTGGCGCTATATAAATACTGTATAATAATAATTCGGATTTAAATTGAATTTGTAATTGTCATGGTCAAGTCAGTTCCATTCCACAGTGTAATGCAATTCTTAGGTGTGAAAAACTTGGGGGTACAGAATTTCGTATTATAATTATTCTGTTGATTTAGAAGATATTGAATAGTTTCAATATATGAATATTGAATCCACTTGAAATATCAAAAGTGAAACTAATATATAGCAATCCTCCGAAATAATTGCAAAATTTTTAGAATCCACCCTGACCAACTAATTTATGAAACAAATGCCAAAGAAACAAAATGAACTCCGAAAACGAATCAGTTCAACATAACGAATATGACAAGAGGAAATTTTTCAATGGATAAATGCATCCAAAATTAAACAAAATTAAAATTTCCTGTCTACCTTGGACCACTCCAGCCCATAGCCTCATGCGATGTCACAAATCCCAGGAGATTGCAGGACCAATCTCACTAAATGCTGCCATCTTGAGCATGCGCAGTAGTAGTTTGGCTGTAAGTCATCAAGATGTCACAGCTGGCTCCCAAACCCAAGATGGCGGCATGGGCGTCTTGAAGCCTTGAGAAGAATAGGCTGCAGGAAAGACAGAGCTGGACATCTTGGGCTGGTAAGTATATGTTTCTTAAAAGTTAGCAGCTACAGTATCTGTAGCTGCTGACTTATTTTCAAACACCTGGGTGAAGTTTCTCTTTAGACTGCCTATGTATATCCTTCACTAAACATTTTTGGCTGTGGATTTGTCTGAAGTCAGCCTTTGTCAACGCATTTTTTATCAAATCTTGCATGCATGTCCGATTGTTCTCTAACATACAGTTCCTTTTATGGATTGGACAGATATCCAATTTGAGCCCATATTAACAGCAGTAATACCTGGAGATAGAGTTTTCTGATGCAATCTCTTTCGGTGTCCGCACTGTGTTGAAGTTACGCTTTGGCTGTGACACTGCATGTAACAACAAATATTTCCTGTTGTAATACAGGACATACTATGCAAGAACACAGACCATAGGGTACATTCATAAAATATTATTGATTTATATGTACAATAATAATAATATAATACTTGCCTTAACACAAAAAAAAGTATTAGTAAAGCAGACAACAATGTACAAAGCATGGGTGCCACTATCAATTAATATTAAATAATTGTAACCTTTTTACCTGCTTTAGAGTTGGCCTATGCTTAGATAAATTTTATAGCTACTGTATATCAGCAGAATTGTTGGGATGATTAATAAAAAGTTATAAAAGAGCTAAAAATGGTTACCATTTCTGGAGAAAACCTGCTGCATGCTCCATGTAACTGAAACTATAGGCTTTTGGCCATGTGATCTCTGAAGGGTGGAATTAGCCAAACGGAACTTCTAGTCTTCAATAGAACTCACTTGAACAAATGCATAGGCTTTTACTCACCTTTCTTTCAGTGGGTAAGGAGATAATCTGCAGCTAAATCTAAAACTAAATGATTTATCATAATCCTAACTTCAAAACCCATGCCTAGCCTTAAAGTACACCTGTGCCCAGACTATGGACATTAAACTATTTGCATACTCTTAATAAGCTGTAAAAGAGGTTAAAAACAAGCAACCACTGACCTTTTGAGCTGAATCTACTATGGGGCAATTCATTCTAATAGACCATAACAGAGACTCTAAATCCCAGATTAAGTCTTTCTGTAAAAGCTTAAGAAGGTCAGTTCTGTGTTTACATTAGAAGCCCGTCAGGCTGCTATGATTCTGCTCCCCTAAAATAGAGCAAAGATTTCTGTGTCTCTGTTGTGAACTTTGAAAATGAATTTCTCCACAATGCCTTCAGCCTACAGAGGTGAATGTGGACTTGTTTTCAAGTCCTTTTATTGCATGCTCAGAATATGCAAATTCTTTAGTGTGCATAGTCTGGGCACAGGTCCACATTAAAGGGTTATTTCACCTTTACTGACTTTTTACACAAACCTCCCTAATAGGGTTGCACCGATACCAGTATTGGTGCTGATACTTAGCATTTGCACAAGTATTTGTATTCGTACAAAAGCTCCGATGCCTAAAACAATACCTTTGCATGCAATTTAAACCCATACAAAATTAATGGGCTTAATTGCACTGCAAAGAATTGCATATGATTTGAACAGGAATGCAATGCAATTCCTGTCCAAATCTCATGCTGTTTCCCACCCCACTCCTGTGTGAACCCAGGCTGGTCACAGTGACTTCATCCTGGGTTCACACAGTGTGGGAAACCGCATGTGATTCAGAAAGAAATCACACCGCATTCCTGTTCAAACCACATGCGATTCTTTGCAGTGCGATTTGAGCTCATTCATTTTGTATGGAGAAAAAAAAAAAAATCGCACCACAAAGGTATCGGTAATTGGTATTGGCGAGTACTCAAGCACAAGTATTGGTACTCGTACTCGCTTGCACCCCTACTCTGTTTGCAATTACCGTGTCCTTGGTACATTAACATACAGTGTTCCTATTTGTAAAAGAATGCTTACTTTTTCAGTTGCTCATTTCATTGCCCTCCCCTCCCTCTCCTGCCATCTGCAGCTCACCTAACTGCCTCCCTCACCTGCAGCACACACATACCTTCCCTTTCCTCCCCTTTACTCCATTTTACCACCGGGAGTAAAGCAAATACCTGGTGTTTTTCTGGTATGGGGAGCATGTGCCTCTCTCCCCTTCCTCCCTAACAGCATCAGTGATTGGCCATTCAGGCACCTGGTGCTGTCTCATCCCTGTATAGGTCTGTAAGGGGCAGCACAGTGGCTAAATGGTTAGCACTTCCACCTGGCAGTACTAGGGTTGTTGGTTCGAATCTTGACCACAGCACCACCTGCCTGAAGTTTGCATGTTCTCCCTGTGCCTGCATGGGTTTTCTCTAGTTTCTTCCCACACTCCAAAGACATGCTGGTAGGTTAATTAGATCCTGTCTAAGTTGTCCCTAGTATATGAATGTGAGTTAGGGACCTTAGATTGTACACCCCTTGAGGGTTAGGGATTGATGTGAATATACAATATATATATATATGTAAAGCGCTACATAAATTAATGGGCTATATAAGTACCTGAAATAAAATAAATAAGGACAGCAGTCAGGCCTGTTGCTTTGCTCAGCATGCCCTCTTTCATAATTGTTTTTCAATGTAGGCTTTCCACAAGCATGTTGTGTTGGTGGGCATTGGATAACAGTCCTTTATACTACATTTGTGGTGGTGTGTTTATCTGCGTTTAGCCATATCAATGCACTGAGTAAAATTTGCCCTTTGCTGTTTCTTTCCACACTTTTCCACATTTATTCAACAAACGGCACTGCAAATGACTCAAAAACTGTATACCTACTAGTTACTTGATGCACTTTTTTCACTCCATTATTGTCTGCTTGTGGTTCTTTTGGGCCACCGATTCTGGAATAGAATAGGAATGTACAAAATGAGTGATGTTCTCACCAAACTTCACAGCTACACTGATTGTAGCCATTATTTAAAGTGCAGCTACATTTTCATAGTAATTGGCATATGTTTAACAGCAGAGACTCAGTCCGGTACTTTGAGCAACCTTCTGAATTCAGGCATCTGGAATGAGCTGTACTTTATGGGCCCTGAACTGGGCAGAGTATCTATGAAGCTTTTATGTTTCTTCAATAAGACAGCAGAAGCTGTTTGCTTTCAGGCTTTCTCTCTACAACTGAAACTCTATGAGAGGAATTTGCTATGACTAGAGTAGAGATGATCTGAATCAGTTGTGCATGGTAACTAACTAGCTTCTGTCTTTTATTTTCAAAGCTTAATTGAACAAGCTGAAAGCAGAGCTCCACCCAAAAGAGGAAGCTCTGCTTGTCTGCACCATCTCCCCCTCCACTGCCATATTTGCCACTTTTTTGGGGGGGAGTGTGTACCTGGTTTTGACAGAATTGAGCCAGACGTTGGGCTCCCCTCCTTCCCCCAACAGTCTTCTGGGACACTTTACAGGTTCCAGAAGACTAAGGGACCAATCACAAGGTGCAGCATGATTCAGGCATACACAGTAGGAAACCAGCTGTGAAGCTGCAAGGCTTCTCTTCTGGTTTCCTTTGCTTGCAATGCCAGCACTGGGAACCTGGAGGCTAGTTATATTGTAAAGCACTGAGCAAACTGTTGGCGCTATATAGATCCTATATAATAATAATAGTGAAGAACTAGCCCGGGTGACGACGATGCTGGACCCCTGGATAGGTAAGTGTCCTTATATTAAAAGTCAGTAGCTACAGTATTTGTAGCTGCTGACTTTGAATTTTTTAGGGGGAGCCTGGAACTCCTCTTTAAATTAGAAGATGGTTACTATGCATAGCTGCACCAGATCCTGTTTTGCTCATTTTATTAAATTCCCCACTAAATGCCTGGTCTTAAAGGAAGGAGAGGGCATGAGACAATCCTCTGATCATTTTCAGGTTGTGTGTGCAAATTGGAGCTTGAGCTATATAGTTCTCTAATCAACAGTTTATTACCAAAATGCAAAAAGAATGTAGTGAGCGCAAAGGAAGAAATTATACCAGCCGCTAGCAGAAAAGGATAACCCACTTCATCTGCATAAACATATAAAAGAAAGAAAGTGCAGCACTAATGCGAGTATCATAAGGAACGTAAAAAAAATTATATGTAATATAAAAATTGGTGACATGCGTGACCAAATATATAGTGTCCTTTTGGACACTATATATATTGTTTGTGCTTTATTGATAAAATTATCAATAAAGCACAAACAATATATATAGTGTCCAAAAGGTGTTGAATAATGAAGTGACATCAAGTGGTAGGTGAATCCGTGACAATTCTTCCTCCTAATGCACTCACCAGAAGCACAGAATAAATGAGCATTCAAATAGGAAATCCTCCAGAAGGTGAAACTTTTCCACAGCCTGAATGGATATTTGACATATACAGCTGAACTCTATATGGAAATCTCTCTAGAGAAACATGATTCCTCTACAGTATGGCTCGAGCCCGGATCCAATATGGCCAAATCCTGAAGGGAAAAAGCTCACAAATGGAGCCACTTATGGTTTAGTCTACGTGCTGGCGTCACGCCGTCGAGTCCATACGATGGTTTGGTGGCCATCTTTGTAAGTGTGTTTGTTTTATGCTCCATGTGGATGCCATTTTTTTATAATAATAAACTACTACACCATAAGCGTCTCTCTCTGGGCTCCATTTGTGAGCTTTTTCCCTTCAGGATTTGGCCATATTGGATCTGGAATCAAGACATATTGTGGAGGAATCATCTGTTTTTCTAGAGGGATTTCCATATAGAGTTCAGCTGTATATGTCACATATCCATTCTGGCTGTGGAAAAGTTTCACCTTCTGGAGGATTTCCTATTTGAATGCTCATTTTTTTCTGTGCTTCTGGTGAGTGCATTAGGAAGAACAATTGTCATGGATTCACCTACCACTTGATGTCACTTCACCTTTTGGACACTATATATATTGTTTGTGCTTTATTGATAATTTTATACGCACTTATAATTTGGTCACACATGTCACCAATTTTTATGTTTCCATATAATTTTTTTTTTACGTTGCTAATGATACTCACATTAGTGCTGCACTTTTTTCTTTTATAGTTAGTTTATTATCAAGAAGGCAACCAAGATTAGCATGGCATAAACCTAGAGCTATTTTACATTTAGTTGTCTTAAAGCGTTTCTAAAGCCAAGCCTTTTTTTGACAGAGCAAGGATTTGTAAATCCTTTGTCAATGTTTTGTCACTATATTCTAAAGAGGGATTTCCCTTCACTTCCTAGCCTGAAGACAAAATGATCTTCAGAAGTCTGGAACTAATGATAACTTGAGCTTTCAGTAAATTGCACTGCTATTCCCTTATGTACTGTAGCTAAGAGATTATATACTTGAGTTGAGATTATCATAGGTTAGACAAAATGTTTGCTGTTAAACTACACAGTAAAATATCACTATGCTAAAACCTGTATCCAAATCTTACCTTTGAACTCTGGAGGGTGGAGCAAAGACTCCATGTTTTGGGGAGCAGGTAAAATACCGAACACCAAATACTGAGCCATCATGTTTCCCTGTAGGCTTTTCCAGCTCGACTCCAAACCAGTATCCTGTAGTAGATATAAGAATATTTTTGTGTTTTTTTCCTCATTAATATATGTATATACAATGCTATAGTTGTAGCCCGTTCATTCTTCCCATCATGTTACCTGGAGCAAAATCTGTCTTTCCGTAGAAGCGCACCACTCCCTGTTTCTGTCCAGCCACAAGAACTTGGTCCCCCAAGTCGATGTTCAATCCCTCTTTGTCTAGACTGCCCACACTGACAGACTTCTTCTGCATTGCTGCAAGAGACCACAGGAAACACAACCAGGGAACCTTTAACTTTTTTACCATAACCACCACAAATTAATTGTATCTAAACCTAAAGGGGCTAGGCCTGTCCTGTTTAGGCTTCCAAAAAAGTGTACATACATTTTTTCTCCTTCCTTCCCTTGCCTGTGACCCTGGAAAAGTCCATACGAGGGGTCTTTGGTGTGGAAGTGACAGAGGATGGAGGTTGCTCAGGGGCTTTACTGATCTTAGACACAGAAGAAAATAGTCCTAGAAAGAAAGACATAAGTAAGTATGGAAGACGGTACAGAAAAATATATTCTTTGGCCAACCAGAAAGAAAAAAGGGTAATCAATATCCAGCCAACTCTGCAATCGTGTTAAATATCTAATACAAATTTTCTTGGTCTTAACCAAATTCATTAACCAAATGATACTAAAGCTTGTTTTTTTTACCTTCATTTTGGTGAAACACTTACCTTATGTGATAAAAAGAATAAAACAGGGCTCACTCTCCTCGTGCATTACCGTGGTATAAAGGAAATTTATTGTAAAATCACAAATACAGACTCACAAACCAAAAAGGTCAAAAAAACAGAGACAAGGAGCCAAAGATGACAATCACAGACAGCGGAGTCCTTGGGGGAAATGTGCTAACACGTTTCAGGAGTCCAACTGCCTCAGAGCGGGAGGAAGGGAGTTTGACTCCCAAAACGCGTTAGCACATTTCACCCAAGGACCTCCGCTGTCCGTGATTGTCATCTTTGGCTCCTTGTCTCTGCTTTTATTACCTTTTTGGTTTGTGAGTATGCATTTCTGATTTTACAATAAATTTCCTTTATATCACGGTAATGCATGACGAGAGTGCGCCCTGTTTTATTCTTTTTTGCCAGCATCAAGATTCCCTGATCTTTTGAGGACGACACCTCAGCGAGTGTCTGATTCTGTGTTTTCTGTGTAGCATGAAGATCTGAGAGCTGGTTTTGGTATATGTTGGAGTTTTTACTTTATGTGATGCCACTTGGTGTGTACTCTAGGACTCCAAGGAACCCTGGTTGTAAAACCCTGCTATAGAGGTTCTCTGGACCAAGTGTGAGTATAGGGTTTTGTATGTGGAGGTTTTCTATTGTCTACTTATTTATTCTAATTACTGAATTCCATTCTATTTATTGAACTAGATGGACCTGTGTCCAACCTGACTATGTAACTTTGTAACTATGTAATATAAGCATCTCCCCACTGGGGACACAGACAATATTAAAAACCTAACATGCTGTAGGTTCTTATCCTGTCTGACTCAATGCAAGAAAATATAAAAATATTAAAAAGATTTATATGTTCCTGTGAATTGTAATCATAAATCCTTTGGAACAGCTTTCTGCATCATCAACACTTGTAGAAGCATAAACTAGGATAATAAAGTTTATTGTTAAATTTAACATATTCAAATCCATCATAACAATATAACATCACCATCCACTAGGCAAACTAGATGGCATAAATGTCAAACAGTCAAAGATGCAAAAAGTCACACGGCAAGAAGACTATATTCCATTAGACTAAAACTACTTTTGCTGTATGATTTTTTGGGGTTGCAGCACCACATCAACTTCTCATGGACACTGGACAAAGATGGAAGTGCCCAGGACCAATGGGAGATGTGTCAGCACAATGCTGGAGGACTCTGTTGGACAGGTAAGTCTGTCATAATGTGGCGCATACTAGTACATTATGACTTAAACCTGCAGGGGGCGCCTTTTTTATTTGTTTACTACCGCTTTAACCGCTTGCCTGCTGCCCTATAGCACAAAATACTGCTACAGGGTGGCAGGGCTGCGCAAAATCACGTATATATGCGTGATTTTGCATTTCTGGGTAGGGTGTGCACGCGCGCGCCCTACCCGCGCCACCATTGGTGGCCTCAGCTGTCGATCACTGGGTCCCGGACAGTAATTCCCCACCGGCACCCTGCGATCGCCGAGTATCACTGATGGGGGAGAGATCTGTATGTAAACAATACAGATCTCTCCCGTCAGCTCCTGCACACTGATTTGTATTGCTCTGCATAGCAGAGCAATACAAAGCAATGTGCTTACACAGTAAAACACACATACAGCACACAGTAAAAAAAAAAAAAAAAGCATACAGCACATAGTTAGCCCTTTAATTTCCCCAGATAATAACTCCTTTGTGCCCAGTGCCATTAGTACAGTGTCAGTGCTTCTTATTAGCACTGATCACTGTATTAGTGTCACTGCGGATGTCAGTGACAGTCAGTTCCCCCCAGTGGCAGAATGCTTGCCGCAGTCCTGCTATAAGTTTGCTGATCACCGCCATTACTAGTAAATGAAAAAAAAAAAAAAAAAAAATCCCAGTATATATACCGCCATTTGTAGACACTATAACTTTCACGTAAACCAAGTAATTTACACGTATTGAGATTTTTTTTTAGCAAAGACATGTCGCAGAATACATTTTGGCCTAAACTTATGATGAAATTTGATTTTTGACATTTTTTACTGGACATGTTTAATAGCAAAAAGTCAAAAATATTGTTTTTTTTTTTTTTCAAAATTGTAGGTCTTTTTTTTTTTTGCGCATTTTAGCGCAAAATAAAAAACACAGAGGAGATCAAATACCACCGAAACAAAGCTCCATTTGTGGGAAACAAGGAAATACATTTCATTTGGGTGCAGCGTTGCATGACCGCTCAATTGCCAGTTAATGCAGCTCCGTATCGCAAAAAATGGCCTGGTCAGGAAGGTTGGTAAATCCTCTGGAGGGCAAGTGGTTAATAACTTATATTTGCCAAAAAAAAAAGCAAATAAACTGTTATGAATTATTAAACGGTTAACCTGGTAACCAGTAGGGAGTATATTACAAGTCTATTTTGGGTGGGAATCACTCTGAGCGCAATGCAATTTAATGCAGGGTTCTGACATTATAACTATATATAAAATAATTCACAGAACAAATTGACTGGTCAGATGGACAAGGAAATCCTGATGTGTTTTGTGGTTACAAAGAATGCTTACTGTACATATTGCATCCCTGTTACTGTTTGCAGTAGTATAGCTTGAGAACAGTGACACCTACAGGACTAACAATGTCAGCAAACAAGTGTGAATCAGCAAGTGCAATAAAAAATAAATTTAGAGAAAAGTATATTTTATTTTTTTACCTGTGTTACTGGGTTTTGCCAAAGCATCTTAAATAATTTTGTAACACCTTTCAGTAAAAATATTGATATCATGGCAAGCAGGATTATTTCATAAGACGCCAACCAAAACTAAGAAAAACATGTTCTCTAGAGTTAGGCTTTGAAAAAACTCAAAGACATCTTGATATACTAATGCAAAGTAACAAAGTAATATATATTTTAAAAGTAAAGGATACCTACCATGTTTTGGGGGACAGATAAAATAGCGAATGCCCCCCACACTGCCATCATTCTTTCCCTCTGGTTCGTCCAGCTCAACTCCCACCCACTGGCCACTGGCAAACTCAGTGGTGCCACAAAAGCGCAATGTGCCAGCCTACAAAAAAGGACAGTATACTGTAAATAAGATGGTTATTACCATGTCTATTATGAAACAGAATAATGACATTTCCTTGCTTTTGTTGTCTCTTGGGGTAGACAAGCTCAAGGAGGTCTGTTTTGTACAGGTAGGGAAAGACCGCATAATTGGTAGGTTTTAAGGTGGTCACAACCAGCCTTTTCCAGCTTTGGAAAAGCACAATCAGCAGCTCCAGCATTTGATAACTTAACGTTTCCACAGTAAAAAAACATAAACTTAAAAATAAATCCAGCTCTAACATTACTTCAAATGTCTTTTCTGGTTGGAACATGGAACAGTAGTTCTCCCTTATAAAGCTGACAACACACTATGTCTCTCTGTAGACCAATATGCTCAGTCTTCAAGAGTATTATTGACTGAGTGAGAGATATAATGGCAGCTACCAGGGGCGGACTGACCATTTGAGCACTCGGGCACTGCCCTGGGGCCTGGGGTCAGTAGGGGGCCCCATGAAATGCCTCTGGTACCTTTTATAGGTTTTTTTGGGTGTGCTTTGAGTGTGGGCAAGGACACAGGAGCCCCACGATCCCCTATTGCCCGGGGGCCCCATGAGTTGTCAGTCCAGCCCTGGCAGCTACCATTTCTCTCCAGAACAATCACAGCAGTGGCCTCACTGCACTTGACTATCAAGGTTTCACAGGTACACACAGCACCCTTTTACTAGCCAAACTGACTTTTCCAGTGCTTATGTCTCAACAGTATATTTTTATTTTATTACATTATCAATATACAATTAATTGTTTGTCTAGAATCCTAAATTGGGGGTTAATCTCCACCTAGGCAAAAACAATGTTTTTTTTTTTCGCAGAACACTGAAATTACTGAACTCACAGTTGGTAGATTATTAAAACATATTGTTAAATTGGCATTACACTAGTAGATTGCCAAACAAACATTGGTATGGAAATTCTCATTATATTAGAAGACTAGGACAAATGTTGCTCGAAAGGGCTTCAAAAGTTCACTTTCTATTAACATTCAGTTTTGGACTGAAAGGACTTTACCAAACGGAAACAACATATATTGTTGGAAATTTGAGAAAAAATTTCGATCTTACACTTTTGAATTTTCCCATCACTGTGGTCGAAAGTGAACATCAATCTAACCCCATTAACACAAAATCAAACGAACATTCTTAAAACAAAAACATTTAAAGGAATTTCTACTAGTGTTTGGCCAACTTTATGGAGAACTGTATTTTCATATTTATTCATATTGCCAGAATAAGAGAGTGCACAGAGTGTAGCAAGGCATCTTGGCCCCATTCATACATGAGCATATTGTAGCCCAAAGCGTGAAGCTCCAAAATGCTCAATATCAGAAATCCCATGGGTTTCAGTGCTTGTTCACACTTGAGTGCTGCTTGCAGCCAGGGGCGGACTGACCATTTAGAAACTCGGGCACTGCCCGAGGGCCTGGGGTCAGTAGGGGGCCCCATGAGATGCCCCTGGTACCTTTTTCATAGACTTTTTTGAGTTTGGGCAAGGACACAGGGGCCCCATGATCCCCTATTGCCCGGGGGCCCCATGAGTTGTCAGTCCGCGCCTGCTTGCAGCTTGAAGTTTGTAGCCTGCAAAAGTACATGAAGTTCTTGTGAGCTACAAGCTTCAAGTTTCAAGCTTTTTAGGCCCCAATAGTCTTTCAATGGGGGTGCCTAAAAAAAAACATGCAAAAAAAGCTTTAAAAATTTTGCGTTTTCTTTCCCCACGAAACTATTTTTCCATTGGCTAGAAATAATTAAAATAAGAAACCCCCAAGCAAAAACAATCTGCAGAAACAGTCAAACATGCCTGTACAAATGCTAAAAAAAGCCTGTAAAACAATCAATTTCTCTTAGTTAGATACCTATGTGCAAGACTACAGCTTTTTTTTCCAGTTATTTTGTGCTATGCATTCTTCTTTGTCACAGGAAACTTTCCTGTAGTTTGCAGTGTGATACATAATTGGATATCAGAGGAAGGAGAATTTTGGGATTAGTCCTGAGCAGGGGCGGACTGACCATTTGGAAACTTGGGCCCGGGGTCAGTGGGGGGTCCCATGAGATGCCCCTGGTACCTTTTTCATAGGCTTTTTTGAGTTTGGGCAAGGACACAGGGGCCCCATGATCCCCTATTGCCCGGGGGCCCCATGAGTTGTCAGTCCGCCCCTGGTCCTGAGTACCTTAAAGGTTAAGTGCACTTTATTTCCAAAATAATAACAAATGAACATTTTTTTGCAGGTAAACAAATGTGCATTTATTATTTTGTTTCTTGGGAGCCTATAAATAATTGCACCCAAGTGCAATGTTGGACTCTTGCAAAACATCAGTACACTGTCTGCGTGTACCTCCAATACGGGCATACAGTTACTGCAGTCCAGGCAGCTCAATGGACTACTAGAGCGCTCACCAGCGTCCTTGCAATACATTGAGAACTACAAGCCATCAGCTGCAAAGGATGACAGTACTTGTAGGCATTTATTTGCAGGAAACTGTGAATGAATGACATGGCCATGTGAGCACAGCCCTGTGTGGCCACATTAGTTTCAAATTGTGACAGTGGGAGAAGAACCCCCACCCGCTGTCCCAGGAGGGGGGAGGCTGCTGCCCTAAAAATGTATCTTTTCCAAAAGCCAAACAAACATTTTTTTTAAATCCTTATGTTGCTAGCCTTGGTATATAAATGGGAAGGAATTATATTTGCTTGTTAACTTTTTTTTCTTTTTTTTTTACATTTCTTCAGCTGCTGGCCTAGGCCACAATGATGTACTACATCCTAGTAGTCTTCATGGAATTTTTACTTTCATTTGGAGGAGGGGCTTTCTAAGCTAAACACACCCACCTGAGCTAAGGCCAGATGGATATCAGGAAGTAAATGCTACATAAATCATCTGCCCTTACTCAAGATGGCCATGACCAGAAAAGCTAGGGGGTGTTTGAGTGATTTCTCAACAAAATAAAGCATGGAGACATGGATGGATGGGGGAGTTTGCTTTAAAAATTAAAAATGAAATTAATAGCGTTTTCGTTTTGTGGTGCTCAGCTACAGTTAAGGAAGCCAAAAGCATTTTACAAGGAGGAGATGCAATGATAAAAAACACAGGCGTTTCTCAGGTTGTAGATGTTTCTATTATGTATTTGAAATTATTAAATTTGACTTCAGTCTGTAGAGATCATTAACTCCTAGATTGTAAGCTCCCAGAAGCAGGGCCCTCCTATCCAGGGGCGGACTGACAACTCATGGGGCCCCTGGGCAATAGGGGATCATGGGGCCCCTGTGCCCTTGCCCAAACTCAAAAAAGCCTATGAAAAGTGTACTAGGGGCATCTCACGGGGCCCCCTACTGACCCCGGGCCCTCGGGCAGTGCCCAAGTTTCCAAATGGTCAGTCCGCCCCTGCTCCTATCCCTCTTGTATTGAACTGTATTGTTGCTGTATTGTCTCCCGTTATATTGTAAAGCACTGAGCTAACTGTTGGTGCTATATAAATCCTGTATTATGATAATAATAATAATTAACAATTAGACACTAGTTGCTGTATGTGGGCATGTAAACATAAGTTCTTTGCTTCAACCAATTGCTGTGGCTATTACATGGCGCCAAGCAAAGACCTTTACTTGGAAGATCTCATGATTGGATCCTCTAAAACACGGGTGTCAAACTGGCGGCCCTCCAGCTGTAGCCAGACTACAAGTCCCATGAGGCATTAAAAGATTGACAGTTACAAGCCTGATTCTGAAAGGCAGAGGCATGATGGGACTTGTAGTTTCGCAACAGCTGGAGGGCTGCCAGTTTGACACCTCTGTTCTAAAAGATATAATAATCCAGTGTGTAGTTCGACCAACCAGTGGCTTCCCATAACCTAAATATCTAGAGTATATTGGGTGAACTTACACTCTAAAACTTCTTATCAATACAAATACTGTGTATATAATATACTCTAATTTCTTAACAACTTATAAAATTATCCCATTCCAGGAAAGCATTTGGAAAGAAAGGAAACTGCACAGATTCATTATAAAATAAAGAGTTTAGCTGTTACCTTCTCTGCATCCAGCAGTACTCTGTCACCCAACTTCAGTCCTAAAGACGCCAGCATCAGGTTACCAGGGATGTTGTCATAGTTGGGTAGTGTGACCTTGGGAAGGTTACAAGTTAAGGGCACCGCGTCCAACAGCAACTGCTTCAGCTCCTTGGCAATCATGGCAGATTCAGCTTTGTCTAGGCCCATATCCATGGGGTCAGGAACCACATCTGCGGGAACTTGGCCCTTGCTGTTCTGTATAGGGTAAGAGAGAAACATTTTACATTGCTATAGACTATAAATTAACTCTTTGTCCGAAACTCAATCTGCATGCCATATTGTACCAGCCAATCTTCAGATTACAAACATCTTGGATTTCTTTTTTGTAAATGTTGTGCTTGATTCACCCTCTCCTACCTCATGAGCCTTCCCGATGGTTTGTAACCATGTTTGGTAGCCTTAGCCCTCATGCACACGGGATGTTTTTACAGCGGCTGTTTTGGGCTTTTGACATTTCTTTCTACAGCCAGTAAACCCCCCCAGCATGTTATCCTATGTGTTCATGCACACATAGGCTGTAATCAACGTTTTTTGGCTGGGACGTTTTTTGACTGGAAAAAAAACCCAGGATTAGTGGGTTTCTAGAGGAGTTTTTTTAGCTGTAAAAATGCTCTAATGCTGAATAATGCGGAAAAACGCGTAAAAAAATTTTTTGGACAGCTGCAGCATCACAGCGATGCTGCAGCATGGAGGTGAGTATGTATATTTGTTTTTTTAAAACTCCAAACAACTCCTTTCAGTATTAGGTTCATGGAATAAGTTGAACTTAAAGTGTTACTAGACCCAGGACCCTGTATTCACTATATCTGGTCTCCCAGGACCCTGCATTCACTATATCTGGTCTCCCAGGACCCTGTATTCACTTTATCTGGTCTCCCAGGACCCTGCATTCACTATATCTGGTCTCCCCGGACCCTGCATTCACTATATCTGGTCTCCCCAGACCCTGCATTCACCTCCCCGGACCCGGCATTCACTATATCTGGTCTCCCCGGACTGCATTCACTATATCTGCTCTCCCAGGACCCTGCATTCACTATATCTGGTCTCCCAGGACCCTGCATTCACTATATCTGACCTCCCAGGACCCTGCATTCAGTATATCTGGTCTCCCACAGGACACGGATCATGGAAATACAATTATTTTAATAAATATAAACTACTAAATATACCTTTTCTCATCAGCTGTTAGAGCAGTCTTGTGACGTCTATCAGTATCCAGCAGAGCACATGCTAAAGCTTTTAGGAGAAGTTTTCATTATGCTCTAGGAGGATGCAGAACCCCTGACCTCTTTCTGGACAGTGCTGATTGGCCCTGTGCTGATCACATGCACTCTCCCAAGAAAAAAAAACCTCTCTAGCAATATATACCAAGAGGGGGGCTCTGGAAGGAGGGGGGGGGATCAGAAAAGACAGGATCAAACAGCCTTTTTACACAATGCAGAGGATTAACCCCTTAGGTTCCACAGTGAGTATAACAAGCATGCTTTACTGCATATACAGACTGATTGTACTGTTGTGGGTTTAGTAACACTTTAAGGGTACATGACTACTGTCGCAAATTCATTTTCTTTGTGTGATATGTATATAACACATGCATTATCAATGCTGAAAACCGAGATTTTACTGGCACCAAAACTCCAAAATTAAAGTGTATCTAAACCTTAGGTGTAAGTGGCTGCTTTCATTTCCATTTATTTTTTTCAGGCTAAGAACACTTTTTGCAAGTACAGACAATACCTGACCTTGGCAGAAATACAATGTCTGACATTTCCCGTGAGCTAAAAAGACAGTTAAACAATGTAATCGCTCTTTTGTACTGTAAACTATTAGTGCTCATGTACACGGGACATTTGGAAAACTCTTCTGAACGATGGAAACTGACTGCTGGAAAACGTAGGTTAAAAAAACATCAGTTTAGCTGCGTTTGCATACCGCGTTTATGTGCATTTACGTTTAGAAGCGTTTTTAAAAGATAACCGCAGGAGACCTTGCAAAATGCCCAGAATGCACTGAAAAACAGTAATTTTTGGGCCAGTTTTCCTTTGATAATAAAAAAAAATCAGGAGATATCCATTGCCATTTACCACCAAATGAAATCTCAATTTGTCTTGAAAAAATCAAGGTATAATCCACCTGGATGTACAAAGTAGTTGTGGTGATATGTACGGTTTTACTATCACATGTCAACGTTGCAGAATTGTGTTTAGGCATTTAGATTTGTTATACCCTTAGGCGTGAAGGGGTTAAATTACATCTGTTATCTTTTTAGCATTATGTAGAATACTGCGGCTTGCAATTTTAGTTAATGAGTTTTCTCTTGACTACAATGCAGTGTGACTGAGACATATGAAAAGTATATATTAGATGATATTGCTCACCCTGACGGCTGGGTTGGCGCCATGTTCCAGCAGACACTTGACAGCTCCCAGGCAAAGATTAGAGGCAGCGATGTGCAAAGCAGTACCATGGTTAAAATCACTGCAAGTGGAATTCAGCACTAAGTGACAGAGAAAAGATTAAAAACGTTTAACTTGGATTCAGTATTTAAATATAAGCACCTAGTCATTGAATACAATGGTATCATTGTCATGACAATGCATGCATTTGCTCAATAAAGTACACAGTCTCAGCATTTTCAAAAGAATATATAGTGGTTTTGTGCATATTTTCTTTACTTGTTTATTATGGTCAGTAATAGAAAAATATAATTTTTTTAGCCAAGCAAAATATAAAATATTGCATGTTAAAATTCTGCAGTCTTGCACACAGCCAGCAGATGGAGCTGTAGTCTGTATTTTACTTAGTCAGCTATTTCAGCTTTCACCTATGCTGACAGAAGTTATGTGTTTACAGAAATAATAGATCTTCACAGCAGAAAGTGAGACAGTTCAGCAGGAACGTGTTCTATGGATTAAAAAAAAAAGAGAGAGAGAGAAAATCATACAAAGATGGGAAGAGGACCATGGTGGAACCTTTATGATGTAGTAATTTAAAAATTCAGTTAGTTTAGGTGAAGCGAGATAACCAGATATTGAAACTGTTTCTTTTACTTACATCTGTGAGCGTTCCAAACAAATACCACTGCTGCTTGTGGAGAGGTATGCAACCACATTGAATGCTGACTCTCCAGCTTTTCTAGGCATTAAGTCGATTGCATACACAAATAGAGTAGACAAAAGCAATAGAGCATCGGGAGGCTTTATTCCAAACAGCTCATACAGCAAAAACTAAATGCCTTAACTGGCCTTACACAAGTAGATTTTCAAATGAACATTTGTACAAACATACAAATCATACTCATACTCAAAGCACAATCATACAAATATTCTTTATACATTCGATGGCTGCATAAGTGTCATTCAAAAGTCCTTGAAAAATTTTGTTTGCTTTAGCCATTTGTTTTTGAAATTAATTTAATTTTTTCTGAACAAAAAAAATTAGAAATGTTAGAAATTTATTTGTTCTAGAAAAATTTTCCATCTTTTTTTTTGTCACTGTTGTCAAAATCAAACATTGATTTTACCACATTAACGATTAGGAAAATGGAATCAACATTCTTAAAAAAAAACGATTCTACTAGTGTATTGCCAGCTTTAATGCCCTTGTCATGTTTCACATGACTGTCATATGCCTTTAAGTGTTCTTTGCATTTTGTCTCTACTCCTCCCTTTCCTTTGGTTTAGTTCATGCTGTATAGATAGCCCCACCTTTTTTGTTCATTTTCCCAGTAATGCACCTCAGCTTCAAGCCTCATGTCATGAAGTAGATCACATTATGATCTTTTGACCTATCCGATGTTCATTGTTGTAAGATTCTCTCAGTTTATGGAATAAACTTCACAAGATCTACAAGGTGTAGTCTGGATCGAGTCACTGCTTGTGTTATTCAACTAAGATTGGAGTTGTTGCTATCTCATCACAACTGTGAGTTACAGAGATCACACTTTCAATGCTTAGATTGGAGAGACAGAACAGCCCTTATGAAATCTGCAACTTAAACTGGAGCTTGTGGAGCATATATCTGTCTCCATGCAGGCCTTTTGTATGAACTCTTCAGTTGCACTTAATTCTCAGAGAGGTCCAGAAATCTGGTCTGGTGCTGGTGGAAAGGTAGTAAGCTTCTTCTTCAAAGAATGGACTCAGAGCTTCTAACAGCACTTTAACCTATCACCCACACCAGAGTTTAACACACCCTGCCTGAAAAAGTGACCGTATGTTGGCCATGAAATACATTGCCAGTGTCATAAATCAGGTTTTCCTTCAATAGAGCCTCTTTTACTGATGATACCAGATTAACGTTGTGTCCATTCTTCGATAATCCTGTAACTATTTGGGCGCCTCGGCCATTCATGGAAACTACCACTCGCTACCTGCAGCTCAGCAAGAAGTATTTTTTAGGAATCTGCAAAGTAAGCTGTCTCCTTTGAACAGCAGTATGCAACCTCAGGACTGCAGCTCAAATGAAACTACAAATCCCATAATGCTTCTGCGAATGGGAGTCAAGCCTATGGCCTTCAGAGTCTTGTAATGCCTCTTAGAACTTGTAGTTTTGCCACAGCTGGAGTGCTGCTGTTGCATATCCCTGTCCATAGATGAGTTTTTTTTTTCATTCAGCCAGTGGGCTGAACAAAAAAAAATAAAAGATTCCCCCATGATCACAAGTAAGGTGGATGAAGGAATCTACCCCCCTGAGATATTGTATTCTGACAGTGGGACTCTGCTGCCAAAATACACTGATCAGCGGCTTCAGTCACTTAATGACAAACCTTTTCTAACGTTCCCGTTCATCAAAAGTGATCGACTTCTGTTGAAAAGGGACACCCACACATGGATTGAAATTTTAGTCCCACCTGAATTAGTCGAATTTCGATTCCAGCTTTAGACACCATGTAGTAATGTTGATTTAGCAAACAAAATGTATATATATATATTGTATATATGACTAGATAGATATAGAACATCAATTTATTTTAATTGAAAGAAAAATTTACATTAAAAACAAAATGATTGTTGTTTGCCTTTATTATATTTATATGTGATCTATTATAGTAGAAACCACAATAAAAATACAATATTAAACGTTTTTTCATTATCATTATTATACACAATATTCAAAACGTGTACTAAGCTGAGAACTCAGTAGCACTGACATTATTATTACTTAATGCAATGCTCCTACCTATACCTACCACATTTCCCAGGAGAGCCATTACCACCAGTATACATCCCACTAATCATGGTGATGTCTCTTCATTATCAGCCATCCCACCAAACTCCTTTCCCTCACCTTTAGGTTTTGATGCTTTTAGGAGGATGCGTAGAAGTTCGGGGACATCGAAGTAGGCAGCGTAATGTAGGGCATTCATGTTAGTCCATCGGCTGCGCAGAGTTACGTCGGCCCCCAGCTGAAGAAGCTGATTGGTTAGTCGAACAGCAGCTGCTGGGTCTCCTTAAAATGTCAAAGTTATGAAATCAGTAGAGATAAATAAGTGATATTTAACAAAGGACTTTACTGTCCTTTAACCCTTTATATACTTTATATCAGTCATCAAATGATCATACAAGTTTATAGCTTAAAGATTTCCATCATCCAATCCCCTGATTGCCATCCTTTACGAAGTACAATTATTCCCTGTTCTAGCTCCCATCTTTGCTTTTTGGCATATTTATGTACTCAGCAAGGGTTACTAGTTTCTGAACCCGGAGCACATAGGAGCTGTCTATATACAAAAGAAAAATGGACAGAGCAGAGTTTTATTTTTCCATGGAAATAGAATTAACAGATATCGGGACAACCTAAAACATAGAGGATTGAAAGGATGATTTCAGAAAACCCATGTAAAGAATAACCCCACATACACAAAAAAATATAGCAAATAGAAAACAAATAAACAATAGAGCAAATTCAATTGCTACGCAAGCTATGTTGTAATTCAGCTTTCCATTTCAGTCTATTTTTCTGTAACATTGAAATGTAATATGGCAACCTGCAGGCAAGGTAGATAGAGATGCCTCCGTTCTGTAGCTTCTGACCTACAGGATATGTTTTTGTTTGTGAACACATGCTGCCCCTGCACTTTACTGAAGTCATGTGCTGTATAATAAAATCCTTATTTTATGGGAAGTGATATTCGTTTTGTTTTACAACTTTTTCATAATAATGCGAAAAAAAACATAATGTTATACATAAAAGATCTGATACATTACCCACTCCATGGGCTCCAGCTTTACATGCGTAGTGCAACAGTGTCATGTCTGTTAGTCCATCCCTGTCATTCACATGACATCCCCTCTTCAAAATCTATGAGAAAAATGACCGTGAATATCCATTTAATCCATAACTTTTACACAAGAAGCAATGCTTACGCCACCAGAATCTCAGTTTGCATTCGATGTCAAAATCAATAGAATTTCAGAACAACAAACCGTATAATGGTCAAACTTTCTCAATATAAATGCCATGGTAGCACAGTGGCTAACTGGTTAGCATTTCCACCGGGCAGTACTAGGGTTGTTGGTTCGAAGCCCAACCACGGCACCACCTGTCTGGAGTTTGCATGTTCTCCCTGTGCCTGCGTGGGTTTCCTCTGGGCACTCTGGTTTCCTCCCACACTTCAAAGACACATTGGAAGGTTAATTGGCTCCTGTCTAAATTGTCCTTAGTATGTGTATGTATGAATGTGAGTTAGGGACCTAAGATTGTACGCCCCTTGAGTGTTAGGGACTGTTGTGAATGTACAATATATATGTAAAGTGCTGTGTAAATTGACAACGCTATATAAGTACCTGAAATAAATCAATAAATAAATGTCCTTGTCACTCCTTTGAGTTAAGGAAACAATGTTATCTTTCTTTTGTAAACTACTAGTCCTATTAATCCGCCATGTAATGGAGATGAAGGAAGGCAGACATGTTTGAAGTCTTCGTGAAGAACAGCAAAAGCAGGGGCACTTACTTCGTGCATTACTGTGGTAAAAAAGGAATTTATTAAAATGCATAAAAGTGCATACTCACAAGCCAAAGGAGATATAAAAATAAAGACAAAGAGCCAGTCGTCCCAGATAACGGGAGACCCTTGATGTGGTTAATTGACACGTTTCGGGAGACGCACTCCCTTCTTCAGCGCTAAAATATTAGACCTGCTGCTCTTGCATTTATATATTTTGATGTGTTTTCATGCTTTTTTTTTTGTAGGAGGAGACTGATTGTTCAACCCTGCCAAAAACGCACCAAAAATGAATGTATGTGTGTTTTTTGTGCACTTTCTATATGCTCCCATTGAAATCTATAAGGTCAAAAATGCACTATGCTGCACCAAAAGAAGCACCTGCACCTTTTTTTTTTTAAATTTGCACTACACTGCGTTGTATGGATGTGAATGGCCACCATGGAGAATAATGTGTTTCCATTGTCATGCATTGCAGCATGATGGCAGAAGCAGAAGAAATCTCACTAGTGTGAATGGGGACCTAAACTCGGTGTCTGGGGTCCAATGAAATAAAACAAAAATGACAAAGGAAGATACACAAGTTTTACCCAGTGTGAAGGAAATGGTGGAGAGAAAGTTCACACTTGTGCGTTGTGGGACACCGCATGTGATTTGCACAGGAATCGCAACGCATTCCTGTGCACATCATATGCGATGTCTGTGTGGTGTGATTTGAGCCATACATTTTGAATGGCTCAAATCGCATCACATCCACACTAAAATGGTGCAGGACCCTTTTATTTTCTGCAACTGAATCTCATTGCATGGGTGTTCACACCAGAGGACTGACCATTTGGGCACTCGGGCATTGCCCAAAGGCCTGGGGTCAGTTGGGGGCCCCATGAGATGCCCCTGGTGCCTTTCATAGGCTTTTTTGGGTGTGGTTTGAGTGTGGGTGAGGACACAGGGGCCCCATGATCCCCTATTGCCCGGGGGCCCCATGAGTTATCAGTCCACCCCTGGTTCACACCCATGTGATCCTATTCTGGCAATTGCACTGTGTTTTGCAATCTGTTTTGGGGTGTCATTAATTTTACATTGACACCTGCAGCAGATCGCATGGACACGACTGCAATGTGGTGCAGGAAATGCACAGGATTCACTACGTTTCCCACATCACATCAGTGTGAACCCAATCACTGAAAGATTTATGTTAACATGATTTAAAAAGTCATTTTAAATCTGCAGCTTATCTGTCATGAATGTTTTTTGGTCAGGCATTTCCTGCGACAATGCAATGCTCTGTCCCATCTCTCCTGCATTGTCGCTTGGGCTTCCAAAGGACATTTTAAAGGGCCACAGCAACACACACTGCAATGGTATGAAACACTGTCACCTTACAGAAATGCCTTACAGCCATTTATGTATGTAGGAAAGGCTGCAAAGATGCTGCAACAACAAAGTAACCCATAGCAAACTTTTACACTGATGTAACAGTCATTTAGGGGTTTATTTACTAAAGCTGGAGAGTCCAAAATCAGACTCCCATCTGCATAGAAACCAATCAGCTTCTAACCTCAGCTTGTTCAATGAAGCTTTGGCAATGAAACCTGGAAGCTGATTGGTTTCTATGCAGAAGGGAGTCTGATTTTGGACTCTCCAGCTTTAGTAAATAAACCCCTTAGAGTCCAGGGCGAACATACCAATCTGCCCCCCCCCCCCCCCCCAAGATGTATGAGCACTATGTGTCAGCAAAAATCCCCCCCCCCCCAAGATGTATGAGCACTATGTGTCAGCAAAAATCCCCCCCCCCAAGATGTATGAGCACTATGTGTCAGCAAAAATCCCCCCCCAGATGTATGAGCACTATGTGTCAGCAAAAATCCCCCCCCAAAAAAAAAAACAAAACGATAATTAATCTGCATGCTTACCCCTAAAGCATTAATCCCCCTTCCCAATACAAATCTACCCCCCTCCTGAAATCCCCCTCCCAGCAGAAATCTTTGCCCCCCATCACCCCCTTCCAATTCAAATACTCTCTCTTCCCAAATTTCCCCAAGCACAAACCCCCCCCAAAAAAAACCACCCAAAAATCATTTACCTTTCAAATTTCCTCACAAATCCTCTCCACTCCAAAGCTCCATCCCAGCACAAATTCCCCGCCCCCCTCCATCCTGCCTCCTAGCACAATATCCCCCCCTCCAAATTTCTTGTTAGCACAAATACCCCCAATCATTCTAAAAGCACAAATGAATGAATGGGGACCCCCCCAAAAAAAAAAAAAAAAAAATTCCCTCCTAGTACAAATCCCCTTCCTCCATATGAACTCTTCCAGCACATACCCCTCAAATTCCCTTTCCTAGCACAAATCATCTTTCCCCATCCCTCCTCCCAACACAAATTCCCCCAAATCATCACTCCTTGCACACCCCCAAATTTCCCCTCCTAGACCAATACTTACCACCTGCCATGCACAAATTCCTCCTCCCAAAGCAAATCCCCTCCCCCCAATCTCCTCACAGTGCCCCCCCACCTCACATGATACCACAGTGCCCAGGGCAACCGCCCCTCCTGCCCACCCCTTATCCCAGTTCTTCACAAAGGAAGTTACCTCACTGCCGATCACATCAATCTTGTGCTGGACTTGTGGGACCCATTGCCGGATGATGGCAAACAGTTCAGGGACGGTCGTTTGAGTGTCAAACAAGATTTCCTGACATGCTGGATCATTGGGGTCAAAGAACGTGAATGCTGTGGTGTAAGGAAAAAAAATGATCATTAATAGAATTTGGTTCTACAAAAAAGAAAAATAGGCCTTCTTTGACAGATGCAGCCATGGATTGCTGTTGGCTTCATTACCTAATGTGTCTGCAATAGAAAAGATTGCTCACAGCAACCAATGAGATTCGGTCTTTCATTTTCCCGTATTGCACCAGAAACATGTAAAGGAAGTTGGTTACTGTGGACAAGAACTATTCCATATGCTGACAGTTTGGATCTTTTACTCTGGTATCTGACCGGATTTTCCATGGAATTAAAGAGCTAGCATACACTAGGTCGGTGTTTCTTCTGCACCCTGGGGTTACAGTTCAATTTTCCTGGGGTGCTGCAGCACAAGACCAAAGTTGCTTTGGATCATGAGATGGATGAAAGGATTTGGGGGACTCTGTGGTGATGGAGAACTTTGTCATGAGGGTACTCTGATGTGATGGGTGTCTCTCATGTATAGAGGGAACTCAGACATAATGGGGGCCTCTGATGTATAGGGGGGACTTTGATGCGATGGGAGGACTCTGACATGAAGGGGGGACCTTTGATGAGATGGGGGCCTCTGACATGAAGAGGAGACTCTGATATGGAGGGGGGGGGCCTCTGATGTGATAGGTGGACCTGTGCTATAAAGGGGGGCTTCTGATGTTAAAGTGTTACTAAACCCAGGACCCTGCATTTAGTATATCTGGTCTCCCAGGACCCTGCATTCAGTATATCTGGTCTCCCAGGACCCTGCATTCACTATATCCGGTCTCCCTGGACCCTGCATTCAGTATATCTGGTCTCCCTGGACCCTGCATTCACTATATCTGGTCTCTCCAGACCCTGCATCCACTATATCTGGTCTCCTAGGACCCTGCATTCACTATATCTGGTCTCTCCAGACCCTGCATCCACTATATCTGGTCTCCTAGGACCCTGCATTCACTATATCTGGTCTCCCTGGACCCTGCATTCACTATATCTGGTCTCTCCAGACCCTGCATCACTATATCTGGTCTCCCAGGACCCTGCATTCACTATATCTGGTCTCCCAGGACCCTGCATTCACTATATCTGGTCTCCCAGGACCCTGCATTCACTATATCTGGTCTCCCAGGACCCTGCATTCACTATATCTGGTCTCCCACAGTACACAGAACACGGAAATGCAATTATTTTAGTACATATAAACTGCTAAATACAAAATATAACTACAAAATATAATAAATCCTGTATAATAATAATAATAATAATATATACCTTTTCTCATCAGCTGTTAGAGCAGTCTTGTGACTTCTATCAGTGTCCAGCAGAGCACTGGTTAAAGCTTGTAGGAGGAGTTTTCTTTCTGCTCTAGGAGGATGCAAAACCCCTGACTTCTGTCTGGACAGTACTGATTGGCCCTGTGCTGATCACATGCACTCTCAAGAAAAAAAAAAAACCCCTCTCTAAAAATACACACCAAAATGAGCATGTGCAGAGTGTCTCCACACGATATGTCTTAACAGGAGATAAGAGGGGGAAACTGGAAGAAGGGGAGGATCAGAGAAGACAGGATCAAACAACATTTTTACACAATGCAGAGGATTAACCCCTTAGGTTCCACAGTGAGTATAACCAACATACTTTACTGCATATACAGACTGATTGTACAGTTGTGGGTTTAGTAACACTTTAATGGTAAATGACTATTGTCGCAGATCCATTTTCTGTGTGTGATATGTATATAACGTATGAATAAGTGGACTTCATCAAGGTGGCTGTCTGCATAGCCCCAGTCTCAGGTGTTCTATTGATAAGGAATCTTGAAAATGCTCCACTAGGAGAAATAAAAAATAAATTCCTTTGCTGATTACCATAATCCTTTGGAAGAGGGGCCGGGGCAGAATGGTGAACCATGGGTCGTTTCCTCTTCTCTAGGATGGGGCTCTGGAAATCCAGGGGATGCTGTTGCTCCTCCGGGGCACAATCTGGAGGATCTTCTCTAGTCATGGTTCTCTGATCACTGATGTTGTAGGAATGAAAAGATAAATACCAACATTAGATCTATGATTTACTGTCTGCATTTAGTACAATAGGACACTCCATGGTTCAGGTATACAATGGCAGTACAGACTAGCAGTATTACAAGGCACTGCAGTGTGTGGATCAGTCAATCCATACCCACACAGACCGCTGTCATCATAGCACATTTCCAGTACAGACCAGCATTCTTACACATACCTACTGTAGGTACTCTGTGGATCAGTTACATAAAACCTAGCAAAGACCTAGGACCATTCCGATATCACAATGCCAGTATAGACCAGTATCATTCTAATATCACAATGCCAGTATAGACCAGTATCATTCTAGTATCACATTGCCAGTATAGACCAGTATCATTCCGATAACACAATGCCAGTATAGACCAGTACCATTCCAATAACACAATGCCAGTACAGACCAGGATCATTCCGATAACACAATGCCAGTATAGACCAGTACCATTCCGATAACACAATGCCAGTACAGACCAGGATCATTCCGATAACGCAATGCCAGTATAGACCAGTACCATTCCGATAACACAATGCCAGTATAGACCAGTATCATTCTGATAACTCAATGCCAGTATAGACCAGTACCATTCCAATAACGCAATGCCAGTATAGACCAGTATCATTCTGATATCACAATGCCAGTATAGACCAGTATCATTCCGATAACGCAATGCCAGTATAGACCAGTATCATTCCGATAACTCAATGCCAGTATAGACCAGTACCATTCCGATAACACAATGCCAGTATAGACCAGTATCATTCTAATATCAAAATGCCAGTATAGACCAGTATCATTCCGATAACGCAATGCCAGTATAGACCAGTACCATTCCAATAACACAATGCCAGCATAGACCAGTATCATTCTAATATCAAAATGCCAGTATAGACCAGTATCATTCCGATAACGCAATGCCAGTATAGACCAGTATCATTCCGATAACGCAATGCCAGTATAGACCAGTACCATTCCGATAACACAATGCCAGTATAGACCAGGATCATTCCGATAACGCAATGCCAGTATAGACCAGGATCATTCCGATAACGCAATGCCAGTATAGACCAGTACCATTCCAATAACGCAATGCCAGTATAGACCAGTATCATTCTGATAACGCAATGCCAGTATAGACCAGGATCATTCCGATAACGCAATGCCAGTATAGACCAGTATCATTCTGATAACGCAATGCCAGTATAGACCAGTATCATTCTGATAACGCAATGCCAGTATAGACCAGTACCATTCCAATAACGCAATAACGCAATGCCAGTATAGACCAGGATCATTCCGATAACGCAATGCCAGTGTAGACACTCTGTGGATCAATCACACAATTTCAGTACAGACGAGTATAGTTATCATAAGGCACTCTGTGGATCAGTCATACAATCCCAGTACAGAACAGTATAATTACAATAAGGCACTCTGTGGATCAGTCACACAATCCCAGTACAGACCAGTATTATTATAATAAGGTACTATGTGGGTCAGTCACACAATCCCAGTATAGACCAGTATAATTACTATAAGGTACTATGTGGGTCAGTCACACCATCTGAGTACACACCTGTATCATTACTATAAGGCACTCTGTGGATCAGTCATACATTCCCAGTATAGACCAGTATTATTACTATAAGGCACTCTGTAAATCAGTCACACCATCCCAGTACAGACCAGTATGATTACAATACGACACTTTATGGATCAGTCACACAATCCCAGTACAGACCAGTATAATTACTATAAGGCACTCTGTGGGTCAGTCACACCATCCCTGTATAGACCAGCATGATTACTATAAGGCACTCTGTAAATCAGTCATACAATCCCAGTACAGACCAGTATGATTACAATATGGCACTTTATGGATTAGACACAAAATCCCAGTACAGACCAGTATGATTACAATACAGCACTTTATGGATCAGTCACACAATCCCAGTACAGACCAGTATGATTACCATACGGCACTTTATGGATTAGACACACCATCCCAGTACAGACCAGTATGATTACAATACAGCACTTTATGGATCAGTCACACAATCCCAGTACAGACCAGTATAATTACAATACGGCACTTTATGGATTAGACACAAAATCCCAGTACAGACCAGTATGATTACAATACAGCACTTTATGGATCAGTCATACCATCCCAGTACAGACCAGTATTATTACTATAAGGCACTCTGTAGGTCAGTCACACCATCCCAGTACAGACCAGTATGATTACAATACAGCACTTTATGGATCAGTCATACCATCCCAGTACAGACCAGTATTATTACTATAAGGCACTCTGTAGGTCAGTCACACCATCCCAGTACAGACCAGTATGATTACAATATGGCACTTTATGGATTAGAAACACTATATCAGTACAGACCAGTATGATTACAATACAGCACTTTATGGATTAGACACACCATCCCAGTACAGACCAGTATGGTTACAATACAGCACTTTATGGATCAGTCACACAATCCCAGTACGTACCAGTATAATTACTACAAGGCACTCTGTAGGTCAGTCACACAATCCCAGTACAGACCAGTATCATTACTATAAGGCACTCTGTGGGTCACTCATACAATCCCAGTACAGACCAGTATGATTACAATATGGCACTTTATGGATCAGTCACACAATCCCAGTACATACCAGTATAATTACTATAAGGCACTCTGTGGGTCAGTCACACCATCCCTGTACAGACCAGCATGATTACTATAAGGCACTCTGTAAATCAGTCATACAATCCCAGTACAGACCAGTATATGATTACAATATGGCACTTTATGGATTAGACACAAAATCCCAGTACAGACCAGTATGATTACAATACAGCACTTTATGGATCAGTCACACAATCCCAGTACAGACCAGTATGATTACCATACGGCACTTTATGGATTAGACACACCATCCCAGTACAGACCAGTATGATTACAATACAGCACTTTATGGATCAGTCACACAATCCCAGTACAGACAAGTATAATTACAATACGGCACTTTATGGATTAGACACACCATCCCAGTACAGACCAGTATGATTACAATACAGCACTTTATGGATCAGTCACACAATCCCAGTACAGACCAGTATGATTACAATATGGCACTTTATAGATTAGACACATCATCCCAGTACAGACCAGTATGATTACAATACAGCACTTTATGGATCAGTCACACAATCCCAGTACAGACCAGTATGATTACCATACGGCACTTTATGGATTAGACACACCATCCCAGGACAGACCAGTATGATTACAATACAGCACTTTATGGATCAGTCACACAATCCCAGTACAGACCAGTATAATTACAATACGGCACTTTATGGATTAGACACACCATCCCAGTACAGACCAGTATGATTACAATACAGCACTTTATCGATCAGTCACACCATCCCAGTACAGACCAGTATTATTACAATATGGCACTTTATGGATTAGACACAAAATCCCAGTACAGACCAGTATGATTACAATACAGCACTTTATGGATCAGTCATACCATCCCAGTACAGACCAGTATTATTACTATAAGGCACTCTGTAGGTCAGTCACACCATCCCAGTACAGACCAGTATGATTACAATACAGCACTTTATGGATTAGACACACCATCCCAGTACAGACCAGTATGATTACAATATGGCACTTTATGGATTAGAAACACTATCCCAGTACAGACCAGTATGATTACAATACAGCACTTTATGGATTAGACACACATCCCAGTACAGACCAGTATGGTTACAATACAGCACTTTATGGATCAGTCACACAAACCCAGTACAGACCAGTATAATTACTATAAGGCACTCTGTAGGTCAGTCACACAATCCCAGTACAGACCAGTATCATTACTATAAGGCACTTTGTGGGTCACTCATACAATCCCAGTACAGACCAGTATAATTACTATAAGGCACTCTGTAGGTCAGTCACACAATCCCAGTACAGACCAGTATTATTACTATAAGGCACTCTGTGGGTCAGTCACACCATTCCAGTACAGACCAGCATGATTACTATAAGGCACTCTGTAAATCATTTACACCATCCCAGTACAGACCAGTATGATTACAATATGGCACTTTATGGATTAGACACACAACCCCAGTACAGACCAGTATGATTACAATATGGCACATTATGGATCAGTCACAGCATCCCAGTACAGACCAGTATGATTACAATACGGCACTTTATGGATCAGTCACAAAATCCCAGTACAGACCAGTATGATTACAATACAGTACTTTATGGCATAGACACAAAATCCCAGTACAGACCAGTATGATTACAATACGGTACTTTATGGATTAGACACACCATCCCAGTACAGACCAGTATTATTACAATACGGCGCTTTATGGATCAGACACACCATCCCAGTACAGACCAGTATGATTACAATACGGCACTTTATGGATTAGACACACCATCCCAGTACAGACCAGTATGATTACAATACGGCACTTTATGGATTAGACACACCATCCCAGTACAGACCAGTATGATTACAATATGGCACTTTATGGCTTAGACACACCATACCAGTACAGACCGGTATGATTACAATACGGCACTTTATGGATTAGGCACACAATCCCAGTACAAACCAGCATGATTACAATACAGCACTTTATGGATTAGACACACCATCCCAGTATGATTACAATACGGCACTTTATGGATTAGACACACCATCCCAGTACAGACCAGTATTATTACAATACGGCGCTTTATGGATTAGACACACCATCCCAGTACAGACCAGTATGATTACAATACGGCACTTTATGGATTAGACACACCATCCCAGTACAGACCAGTATGATTACAATATGGCACTTTATGGCTTAGACACACCATCCCAGTACAGACCGGTATGATTACAATACGGCACTTTAT